TGAAAATCATGTGTGCCTTCATAGTTTTCCCAGTTGACTTTTCCCTAAGAAGGGCTAACAGTGTAGACTGATCACTCTCTGGACATACACATTCCAGGTATTTGGAGAACAGCCTCAGGAAAGGCTTTCTCTGGAATCAGTTATCTCCCTTAGCCACTTTCAAGGACTACAGGAAACACCACCCAGGTGGGCGCCCAACTTCCAAGGACTAATAATGATAAGAGCCCACATGCAAGTCTCCTGACTTACGGTATATTCCACAAGGAGACACCGCCTAGGAGAGATGGACGTTAAGTAATGGCTTTACACAATTTAGCTCAGACCCTCCCTTTATAAACATGTGATTCTGAAGTTGCCATACTGAGAGGCAGAACGTGTAGCCAAGGGACAAGAGTCCATTCTGCAAAGTAAACTGATGTTTCTTGGACAGAACCTGAAGCTGTGCCTACTCCGGGACCAGGAGTGGATATGGCTTGGCTGCTCCCCAGGTGCGGACCGCCCGGAGTCCTAAGGGCCGCCGCCGCCGCAGGTAACTCTCAGCCTCACCATCACAGCTTGTGGTGAGTGCTGCTTGCTGCCCCTACTTTTCAGTTGGAGAAACAGGGGCTCTGAGGAGTTGACAACGTCATCCACAGGAGCAGCAGTGAAAAGATCTGGCATTTGCAGAATTCCAACCGTTCCTACAGCCCTTGCTCTTGACCCTTTCACCGTGAGAACTGTGTAGTTTTTCAGAGGTTTCTACTCTCACTTGTTACCTCTGGCTCGGGGGACAGATGGCCCCGGGGTCCTGGACTAGGTCTTTCTATAAAGACCTGCTTTGGAAATGGTTAGAATCCATGCATCGTGAAGAGAAGTCCTACTTGGTCAAATTTGGTGCCCGATTGTGATCAGATCATTTCCCGCCTCTCTCGTATTGGAATTTGGGTGATGGGATGTTTCCCAGTTTTTTCTCAACTGATGCTCCCTAAAGTTCCATTACCCCCCCCCCCTCAGCATAGCCTTGCAGGGAGCATGTGACTCGGGGCTGTTTTGGGAAGTGCAGTGTGGCATCTTTATCTTGGAGGGGTGACTAGAAAGTCAAGCTTCTTAAACATGAGACACACTACCGCGGAGTCTAACGTCAGCTAAGCCTAGAGAGGCAACAGTAAAGCCTGAGAGTAAAGGAGCCCTTGGGAGACTGAGATAGAAGGATCATGTAGTCAAGGCTAGCCTGGGCTAATGCAATAAGATCAGGCCTGAAGCAAGAGAGAAAAGAAAGCTCACTGCAGGACCGTGCTTGTGATCCCAGCTCATGGGGGAGGCAAGGCAGGAAGAGCATGAACTGGAAGCCAGTCTAGGCTACATAGCAATACACACACACACACACACACACACACACACACACACACATATGTGTGTGTGTGTGTGTGTGTGTGTGTATATATACATACACATATATATATTTGTTTAAAAAGAAAAAAGAAAAATCACAAGAGTGTAGGAGTGGGTAGATTGGTTAGCAAATCAACACTCCCAGTTACACGTATTCAGGGTTAAATAGGACCATTTTTTTTGCAGCAAGTTTAAAAAACAGCCATTCTCTAACAGACAGTTCTGTGCTTGTAAGACATGCGGTGCCTTGCTGACGTGGCCTTGGAGGCCCTTTGGATCAATCCCAGCCTGCGGTCTAGCCCCACTGACATTCTCTACCCAGCAGCTATCCCAGGTGGCCAGCCCCCTTTCACTTCAGGTTGGGTGAAAGGTGAGTGGTGGCCGCCTTATAGACCCCCCCGCCGCCCCCCCCCCCCCAGGTCTGGGTTCCTGTATGCTAGGGGACCCCGAGATCTGGCAGTTCTTCAGTAATGTGCTGCTTGCTGAACCTCAGGCCTGGCGGGGAAGCATTCTCTGACATTGTTCAAGGGAAGAGATCGTTCATGTGCTTTAGACTTCTAGACCTTTCTCCCACGTGGACCTCTCATCCTTGGAGAGGCCTGGGCTGCCAGTCAGTGATAGAACACTTGCCTGGAATGCACAAGGGTTTGATCCCCACCACTGGGGAAAATTTTTAAGAAACAGCCTCATCTCATCCCAGATGCTTTCCTCACTTCCGCTTCTGGTTTGCGTCTCCTGCCTCCAGCCATCTTGCTTCCGGGAAGAGGCTTGCCCTGATTGTACGTACTGACTGACACACTTCTTCCATGCTCACATGACACCCCGGGAGCCCCCTCCCATCCCCTGCGCTGCCGGGGTGGCCTCTCACCGAGCTTTGTCTCTCTCGTACAACTGTCTTCGTTCCTTCCGTCTGCAAAGTGGGGGCATCCATGTCTGTGTGGAATGGAAGAATATGTCTTTTTTTTTTTTTTTCTGGCAGGGCAGCCTGCTTAAGGAAACAATTCAAGTTGGAAGAAACCTTGAATACTGAAGCTTAGGATGAGCCAAGCTGGGGGCACCCAAATTCCGCGTGTGAGGCGGTGGCTGGGGTCATCTCAGACTTTTCAAGCTCTTCATCTTTCCAATGCTGGGAGCATCTCCGTCAGCTCCGTAGGTTTCCAGGGCCCCAAACAAGGGGTGCAAGCATTCTTGGTTTATGTTGGCTGTGACCGCTGTAAAGCAAGCAGCCTGGAAGGCTCTGGGGGTGCATGTCGGAGCAGGAATGCCATTCTTCACCCTCGGTGTCGTGAGCAGGGCCAGGCCAGCTGTGGAAGGTGTTCTATTTCCAGATTCTGTCACGGCTGCCTCTGGGCCCAATCATGCTTCCTGTTGGGAGCTTGAAGGCCCAGGATCTATCAACCCGTGTGTGTGTGTGTGTGTGTGTGTGTGTGTGTGTGTATGTGTGTGTGTGTGCAAACTGGCACTGCTGGGTGGTGGTGGCCCACGCCTTTAATCCCAGTACTCGGGAGGTAGAGGCAGGTGGATCTCTGAGTTCGAATCCAGCCTGGTCTACAAAGCGAGTTCTAGAACAGCCAGGGCTGTTACACAGAGAAACCCTGTCTCAAACAAAACACAACAGCAAATTGGCACTGATTGGTTTGCTCAAGGACAGGGCTGTTTTGAAGCAGGCTCTGGAGCAGTCTCTCCACAAGAATGAGTAGATCTATTCACAGCCACGAGGCCTCCAGCTCGACCACTCACAGTCTCTTGTCTATTTCAGTCTCAATACTGCAACTCCCCCTACCCTGCCCACCCCAAAATCTGCCAAGTCCTCGATGTAGAGTTTTACATCCTGTTTTGGGGGAGCGATTACTTACTTCTTTCTGGGTTCTCAACAAATACTTAAGCACCCATCTGAAGCTTCAGAGGCAGGCAGGCAGGCCCTGAGCTGTGGTGTCTCCCACAGACATCCTCCTGGGTCAGACTGAGGGCACCCTGCCATTCCTGACCTGACCCTGGAGAAATCCATCTAGAGGGCCGTATACTCTGGGTCACTTTTGGCCGCCTGTCCTGAATCGGAGTGGCTTGCCTTGCAGCCCCTCTGTCCAGAACGGCTTGGTCCAGCCCATCCCCCATGCTGTCTTCTTCCTGACGTCACTGGGCTCCGCCTTTCACACTCAGTTGTGTGTCTGCAAGTGGAGCTGAATGCAGCAAGCAGGGTTTGCACCCGCCGTACACACCACTAGCCCCGTAAATCCCAGGAGACGGAAACCTGGGGAAGCTTTATCCTTAAGTTGGAATAGCCTGTCCACGGTGAGCCCTTCCAAGGCCGTCCGAGGCAGCCTGGAAATTTCCAGAAAGCCTTGGCTTGAAACAGTCTAAGTATATGCATACGCTTCACACCGGAAGCTTCTGGTGTGGGGATGTGGACGATCGTCATCGCAATGATAATAGAACCAGCATGTGCTCCGTGTGTCACGTGCCAGGCGTGGAGTGACTGGAGCATGCCTCTGGACACTGTGGCTGCCGGGGCTTAGACGCTGATCTGTTTCCGGCTTTGCCATCTGTTAAGTCTCTTCATTGTGAGGGGCTCGGCAGAGATCTGACCTGGAGTCCTAGTTCACCTTCTGTGGCTGTGACAAACACCATGACCGAGAGCAACCTGGGAAGAAAAGGGTTAATTTCAGCTTAGCGCAGTGGCTCTCACCCTATGGTGAACGATTCTTTCACATTGGAACACACAGATATTTATAATATTATAAAGCTACAGTTAGGAAGTGGCAACGAAAATAATGTTGTGGTTGGGGGGTCACCACAGCATGAGGAGCTGTACTAAAGTGTGGCAGCGTTAGGAGGGATGAGAACCAGGCTTGGAGGTTACAGTCCACTATGAAGTATAGTGGGACTTTTCTGTCCCACCCGCCAGCTCCCAAATAACCACACGGAGACTTATTAGTTATGAAAGCTTGGCTTAGGCTTGTTTCTAACTAGCTCTCATAACTTAGATGAACCCATTTCTATTCATTCGCTCTCTGCCTCGAGGCTTTATTACCTTCACTCTGTACTGCCCACTCTGCTCTCCTGCTTCTCTCGGGTCTGGCTGGTGACTCTTGGCATCGTCTCTGCTCCTCCTCCTCCTCCTCCTCCTCCTCCTCTTCTCCTTCTTCTTCCCAGTCACCTCTTCCCCGAAAATCCTGCCTGTCCATTGGCCGTTTAGCTTTTCATTAAACCAATCACAGTGACACATCTTCACAACGATGGCGGGGAGCTGAGGCAGGCACCCGAGGGCAGACTCTGAAGCAGAGACCACGGAGGAGGGCTGCTGTGACGCGCTTCCTCTGGCTTGTTCAGCTATGTGAACCAGGCCCACCTGCCCGGGGTGCTACAGTGAGCAGGGCCCACCTATGTTAAATATAGGTCAATAAAAACGCCCCACAGACCATGCCCACAGGGCAGGCAATTCCCCAGGCGAGGGTCCCTCTTCCCAGGTGTGTCGATAGGTGTGTCAAGCCGACACCTGATGATGAAGGTAGGAGCTGGGGACAGACGTGTATGTCTGTGTATGTGTATGGGGACAGTCTCCCCTATCTGACTTGCTTTCTAGTTTGTGACTGAGTCGTGGAGACTGACAGCCGTTCATATGGACAGTACTCCAAGGCCATCCTCACCACCAATTTAACGTCTTCCAAGGAGGCCTATGGCACATTTGAGACTTGTTGTCTACCGTTATCTCCTGAGCTTCCTCGGATCTTCCTCCCTCGCGTTCTTCCAGCCCAGCTCCCGATGCTCACTCTCCTCCAGGACTTCTCCAGGACCTTCCGTAAAGTCGATTAACAGGTGAGACAATCACACAGGTGCAGACCAAGACCAGTTCATCTCAGGCTGATGACCCCTTCCTGACGGCGGGGGCGGACTGATCTTCCATCTCCCCTCTTACACGCCCCCACTTTTCTCGCCAACAAATCTGTCCAATGGCCCAAAGGCTGAGGACGGTGGAGGATGCACCCACAAAGGCTGTGGGCACCACAGAGCCAAGGCTGAGGGACAAGAAGATGGCATTTTCATCTCTGAGGACATCAAAGGGGGGGGGGATTGCTAGGCAATCTTCAAAGAACCTCTCGTTCCTAAACAGGCCAAAGGCTGCTTGAGGTTACTAGAGGCTAGCAAGATTCTACCAACCTTTTTATCGTGGTAGGATATTGACAATATAAAACTTAGCATGTTAATATTTTATGTGGGCAGTTGATTGGCATCAGGAACATGTGTTCACATGGTCTCCAGAGCCTTTCCATCTTTCCCATGAAGGAAGCTTCATACTTACAAAGAAAAAAACGTCTCTCTCTTTGTTTGCCCCTTTCCAAGCCCTCGATAACCACATTCTGTTTCTACCTTACGGATTGGACTCCTCTAGACGCCCCCATATGAGGAGAATTATATAATAACCACAATGTAGTGATGGGTTCAGGTTACTTAGCATAGTGTCTTCCAGGTTCTATGCTGTGCCAGAATTTTCTTCCTTCTTGAGGCTTGTATTAGTTATCATTCTGTTGCTGTGCTAAAAAAAACTCACAACCAAAAGCAACTTATGGAAGGGTTTTGTTTGTTTGTTTTGGTTTTGTTTTTTTGTTTTTTTGTTTTTTTTTTGCTTATGATTCCACGGGGACAAGAGTTGGTCGTGGTGAGAAGACATGGTGGCAAGTGGCCTGGACAGTGGCCGGGACAGAGGGCCAAGAGGTCTTTACCCACCAACAGGAAGCAGAGAGAGGGAGCTAGAACAGAGCGAGCCTATAAACTCTGAAAGCCCACCCTCAGCGACAGACCTGCTCCAGCCGGCCTGCATGGCCTTCCCAAGTAGCACCACCGCTGTGGACCGAGGAGTCAAATGTCTGAGCCTATTCTCATTCAAACCACCACAAGGCTGGGCATTTAGTCCACTGGATTTACAAACCACACCCCTTTTCGCCACCCATCGATGGACGGGCACTTGAAATAGTGTGAATAGTGCTGCAAAGATCACGGGTGTAGTCATTTGTTTGAGGCTGTTTACTTTGAGTATTGTGTCTGCTGTCGTTTGAATATGAGAATGTCTCCCAAAAGTTCACATTCGGCCCTGTGGAAGCAAGGAAGTCTTCACACACACCTCTCAGCAGTAAATACACGTGGCGTTGACATCATCACAAACACAGCTGATTCCTAGGCACTTTGGGGAGGTCAGCTCCGCAGGGGCCCTGCAGGTTGGCTGTGGAGAGGCAGGGATGAGGATGCTCTGTCGGACTCTCAAATTTGGAGCACGGTTCACTCTAGAGTAGACCTGCTATTCTTTCAGCCCAGCTGCCATAGCAACCGGACCCTTATAAATAAGAGTGAGTGAGAAGCCCTTGAGGCTGGCTTGAAGGGTCCCTAAGAAACAAACTCACACCCGTGTCTTCCAGCAGAGACTGGATTCTTGGTCCTCATGTGTATTAGCTGCTTTTGTGTTGCTATGGTAAAATAGAAGAAAATGTTGATTTGGCCTTAGGGCTCCAGAGGGAGGAGAGTCCAGTATATGGGAGCAGAGTATAGCGGCAGGAACAGGAAGCTGAGGGCTCACACTTTTGTTTGTTTGTTTGTTTGTTTTTCGAGACAGGGTCTCTCTGTGTAGCTTTGCGCCTTTCCTGGAACTCACTCTGTAGCCCAGGCTGGCCTCAAACTCACAGAGATCCGCCTGGCTCTGCCTCCCCAGTGCTGGGATTAAAGGCGTGCGCCACCACCGCCGCCGCAGGGATTGAGGGTTCATATCTCGAACCACAAGCACAGAGCAGAGATAGTGAACTGGAGATGGCGTGGAGTCTTTAAAACCCCCACAGCCCGTTCAGAGTGTGAACTCCAAAAAGGCTGCACCTCCTGAACCTTCCCAAACAGCGCCACCAACTGGGGACCAATTCCTGACGAATACGGGAGTCTGTGGGGGACATTCTTGTTCAAACCACCACACATGAGTCAGCTGGCAGGTTGAAGAGCCCGTCTAGCCACGAGAGCCGGACCCTTGGCAATGCCAGAGAACAGGAAAAGGTCTCTCAGCCAGGCCAGGTGGGCGCTGGAGATCACTGGAGTGAAGCCCCGAGGGGGCGAGCTCTCTGTCTGTCTGGGGCTGGCCTGTCCACTCCTGCCTCCCAGGCCCCTGCAATAACACCTGGCCGGCTGTGGAATGAATAAATGAATGAATGAATGAATGAATGAATGGCCACCTCTCCCAACCCCCACGTCCCCCACCCCTGCTGAGAACTTCTTGGCCTGGCCTGGAGAAGGGCCTCCTTAAAGGAAGACCCAGCTGAGGGACCTCCCTCTACAGTACCCCCCCTCCCCGCCCCCAGGGCTCCTGCCCTGCTCCGTGCTGGCTGGAGACGGCTCCTGTGGTTTTCCTCCCCGCCTTTCTCCTGTAATTGTGAGCACAGCAGAGGCAGGAGGAAGCTAACAAGGCAGGGCTCCGCTGGCATGGGACTGGGACAGGTCTAGCAAGCACCCAGTCAAGATGGCACCTTGGTGGGAGAGACGCCCTCTAGAGGCAAACCTGCACACATCTGCATACATCTGCACGCATATAACTGAACCTGGGAAGGCTCTTCCAGCTTTCCCTTTTAGAGACCCTCTATTCCAGCCTTTATAGGACATGCTGAAATTGAAAATTAAATTATTAGCGGGGGTGGGGGGGTGGGGGGCATAGTGGCGCGTGCCTTTAATCCCAGCACTCAGGAGGCAGAGGCAGACAGATCTCTGTGAGTTCGAGGCCAGCCTGGGCTACAGAGTGAGTTCCAGGAAAGGTGCAAAGTTATACAGAGAAACTCTGTCTCGAAAAAAGAAAACAAAACAAAAACAACAAAAAAAAACCTATTAATATTTGACAAATTTAGGAGGAAGGAACCACAAAGGAACTTGTTATTTGCAATTTAAATTTAAAAATAATTGTAGGTTTTTTTTTGTTGTTGTTTTTGGTTCTGGAGGTTGAACCCAGGACCTCCCTCGCACACATGGGAGCCAAACGCTCTCTGCTGCTGAATCAGAACCTCAACTTCGTGTACTTCGGCGGGAAGTGGGGCAGAGGACAGGTTCTCAGTGCAGCCCTGGCTGGCCAAGAATTCGCTACGTAGCCTAGGCTGACCTCAAACTCACAAAGCTCTCTCTGCCCCTGCTTCCGGGAGTGCTGGGATGAAAGGTACATGCCACCACACATTAAGGGTATAAAAAGTTCGTGTACACTTTTTATAAACGTAAAAGGGCCGTGTTTTGAGGCTTTTTTTCCGGGAGAGAGAAGAGCTTGGTAAAACCGATCCCGAGCCTTCATTCGAAGAGAGCACATTACTGCTCCCTTCTTAGCCTGTTGCACAGTAGTTTATCTTTTTCGCCCCAAAAGGACTAGCGCAATTTGGCGAGGTTGGGCCTTGCCTTTTGCCAAGATGCGTTTTCCATGGGGGTGGGGGGGGGAGGGAGGCAAACGGACTCTTACTTTGGAAAACACCACGTCCTGTTTGTTTTCTGTTCCTTTAGAAGTCAGCCCGGGAGCGGCTGGCCGCGGCGGCGAGCCCAGCTCTCGGGCGTTGTGTAACCGCCAGCGAATCACGTTGCACCCGCCGCTGCCACAGACTCTAACTGCAATCGTAAGCCCGAGCTTATTCAAATAGGAGAAACCATCCCAGCCTGTTCCAAGTCACGTGTCCAGGTCACATGGCCTGCCAGCCCGAGAAGCCGGCTGGCAATCATTAACTAATGCTTTCTCCCAGGGAGAAAAATGTAGGTTTTAAAGAGGCCGGGACTACAGGATTGCAATAGAAGGTATCGGGGTGGGTGGGTGACTTATTCTCGCTAAGTGCTTTCTAAAGGAGACGGAAGAGCCCGCAAACACCCCCTCCTTGCCTGCTTGCTTCTCCAGAATTGCAAACTTGAGCTGCACAGCCTGAGTTTCCAGATCCGCGGTAGCCAGGGTCGGAGTCTATGCGCCTGGGAGCCGGAAGGCTATCCCAGCGCTGGGTCGATGGACCTCAGAGACCTTCTGGGTTAAAACTTGAGAGCCAGGTGTTCTGTGCCTTAGGAAGTTAGTGCCAGCCCTTCCCCGAGGAGCGAGAGGGTGGGAGGAGGCATGTGAGCCTGTGGGAGCACTTGGGGAGTTTTCTTTACACCGAAATCTTGTGGTTGATAAGACCAGCCGCTGCCTGCCAGGCGGTTTCCTTGCTCAACCTTTGGATTTAGAAGTTTCTTTCTCCTTCTCTGGGTTGGGTATTGTTCCTTGGTGTTTTCAGAATCTGTGAAGTGAAGTGGAGTTTGTTTGATTTTAGTACAGAAGTGGCAAAAGTGGTCAGGATGAAAAAGGGCAAAGCTTTGTTGGAGGGAGAGGATAAAGTGCAGAGAAAGGACCTTGGCCGGAAAACAAACAAACAAACAAACAAAAACAAACAAACAAACAAAAAACCGTGCTTTCGAAATCTCAGAGTTCTATTTTTCACATTTTGTAAAAAGTCTTTTTTCCAAATACAGTGCAATACAGAGTCAGTCTTGCAGGGGTGGATCTCTGTGAGTTCGAGGCCAGCCCTATCTACACAGCAAATCCCAGGACAGCCAGGGCTACACAGGAGACCTGTCTCAAAAATAAATAAATCAAATGGCCTAGGTATCCTGTTGCCTGTATAGCCTACCAGTTTTTAAATCTTGTTAGCTGATTCACTGATCCCGTGATCCCACGAGAATACTTTTGCAAGGTACTAATTCCCTTTCCCTTGGATTTGTACCCAACAAGGAGACTTATTTATAAAAACTGATTATTCATGAGCTATATTTGTTGTTCAACAAATGCAGTAAAATTTCATGTTTCTTAAAATCTCCAAAAGTTTGAGATAATGTTTTTACAAGAATGTTTTTTTTTTTTTTTTTTTGGTTTTTCGAGACAGGGTTTCTCTGTGTAGCTTTGCACTTTTCCTGGGACTCACTTGGTAGCCCAGGCTGGCCTCGAACTCACTGAGATCCGCCTGGCTCTGCCTCCCGAGTGCTGGGATTAAAGGCGTGCGCCACCACCGCCCGGCAAGAATGGGTTTTAATTCAATCTGTTGTTTTAAGATTACCTTTAATAAAAATAGTTGGTTTTAGTATGCTTTTAGTTGCTTGGATAAAACACCATGACCAAAATCTTCTTGTAGAGAAAAGAGTTTATTTCAGTTTACAACTCTCTGGTCACATCATTGCTGAGGGAAGTCAGGCAGGATACTGGAGGCAGGAGCTGGCTCAGAGGAACAGTGCTGACTGGCGCTCCCCATGGCTTGCTCGGCCTGCTTTCTTATAGAACCCAGGACCACCTGCCCAGGGACGGCACCACCCACAGTGGGCTGGGCCCTCCCACAGCCATCCTTAATCAAGAAAATCCTCCAAAGGCTTGCCTGTAGGGCAGTCTGATGGGGGCATCTTCTCAACTGAGTTTCCCTCTTTCCAGACAAACTGAGCTTGTGTCTAATTAACCAAACAGTGAGCTAGTCCAGCCACCCACATTCTCTCAGAGCTGCCATAGGAGTCTGAGATAATATTGAAACCCCGAGGCTCTCAATGCTGATGGATGCTCAAAACTGCGGTCATGATTCATTTGTTTTGGTTTTGTTTTTTGCTCTTTTTTTTTTTTTTTGGAGGTGAGTCTCACATAACCCAGGCTGGTCTCTGCTGTAACTCCTAATCCTCCTGCCTCCACTTCCCAATTGCTGGGATCACAGGCATGCACACCCCCCCACCCATACCTGACCAGTGTTGTATCCTCGCTGCCTATCACCAGATTAATGGGAGGATGGAAGAATGTGAAGAAAGAATCTGGTGAGGCGGGAACATACTCTGGAAATGTGAAGCATCGTTCATTGGACTAATGCAATATGCTATGTTCCTTCAGTAAATTGAAGCAGACCATAAAATGATGTGGAAAAGCAAAGCCTGGCATGATGTCTCAGGCCTGTTATCTAGTGCTTGGGAGTTGGAGGCAAGAGGATCAGGGGTCAACCTCAAGGCCAGTTCGGTCTATGTAGCTAGTTCCAGGCCTGCCTGGGGCCGTACAATGAGATCCTATCTTAAAAAACAAAAGCAAAACAAACAAAAACCCTAAAAAACAAAAGCAAAACAACCACAAACAAACAGCAACAAAGAGAGGCTCAGGAATTCAGTGTCAGCCTCAACCAGTTTGAGGCTAGCCTGGGCTGCCTGAAACCAGGTATCAACCAAACAAACAAATCCGCATAGCAACCCGTCTGGATTAGTGATGATAAAGATAGAATTTGTGTGACCAAGACAGATGCACACAGGGGCTGGAAGCAGAAGTGTGTCATTCTGAGGGGCGTTGTGTCCAGGCAGGTATGGCTGAGCGGCATCCACGTGCGGGGAGTGGGGTGCCTTCCACACTGGCCTCCCGCCATCCCCCGCTATCCCCCAGTGCAGAACCGTCTTCGGCACGGTCAGGAGGGTTTGCCCTTTCAATTGGCTTCTGACCTGGACTCATGGACGAGTTCACAGCAAGAACAGCAGCCACTTTTCTCTCGTTGCTGTCTTACAGAAGGGGTTGTGTGCCGCGAGAGAGTGCTCGGGCCCGGGGCTGTGGACATCTGTCCACACATGTTCCGCACATGACCTCAGTGTCTTCTGCTTGGCCAGCGCCTGCATCGGGTGCCTTTCCATGGCCACAGTCAGAGCACAAATCACTCACGGTCACAGTTCTGTCTACAGAACTGTGCTTGGGCAGAGCATCACTGCAAAGGAGAGTGCTCGCTGTGTGGCCAACGAGGAAGCCGGAGAAGAGAGGCATCGTCTTCAGTGATTAAGAATTCTTCTGGGGGCCGGGCGGTGGTGGCGCAGCCGGGCGGTGGTGGCGCAGCCGGGCGGTGGTGGCGCACGCCTTTAATCCCAGCACTCGGGAGGCAGAGCCAGGCGGATTGCTGTGAGTTCGAGGCCAGCCTGGGCTACCAAGTGAGCTCCAGGAAAGGCGCAAAACTACGCAGAGAAACCCTGTCTCGAAAAACCAAAAAAAAAAAAAAAAAAAAAAAAAGAATTCTTCTGGGGGAGGGGGGAACAGGCGCGGAGGTGGCGCACGCCTTTAATCCCAGCACCCGCGAGGCAGAGGCAGGCAGATTTCTGAGTTCAAGGCCAACCTGGTCTACAGAGTGAGTTCCAGGACAGCCAGAGCTACACAGGGAAACCCTGCCTGTTTAAAAAAAAAAAAAAAAAAAATCCCACGGACGGGTTGGAGAGAAGGCCCAGTAATGTAGAGTACTTGCTATTCTTGTGGAGATTCGGGTTTGATTCCCAGCACATACATGGTGGCTCCCAACCACCCATAATTCTGGTTCCGGAGGATCTGATGCCCTCTTCCGACTTCTGTGGGTACCGGGTACGTGGTGTATATACATATATTCAGGCAACACATTCCAACACATAAATAGTTTTTTTTTTTTTTAATCCCACCAACAAAGAATTGATAGCAATGCACGGTCACAGGAACCTGCGGCTGGGCCTCTGCATGTGCCTCTGAGTGACCTGCAGTGCATGGTCTGAACTTGGTGCTTAATAGCTTCATGGCAGATCCGCCCTGGGCACTCAAAGTGTATCTCAGAGTTATTCCAAGGGCTGGGGCCGCAGTTCTTGCCTACCTTATGCAAAGCGCTACATTCGGCCCTTGAACCACCCTCCTCCCCCAAACCTGGGCGCCAGGCCATTTAAACGTGCTTGTGGTAAGCTTAGCTGGACAGCCCATAGGGGAGACTTGTCCGTGATAGATTTCAAGCAATAAAGAGTCTCTGGTGCGATCGCAGGGCTTAACCCTGGGAAGGTTTCTCCTCCCAGACTGACTAGGAAGACGGGGAATAGGGGGCAGGCAGGGCCTCCTTCCAGAATCCTGCCCAGCACTCTGCCATCCCAACATCTAACCGCTTTCCCACTCACACCTTGTGTGTGTGGCGGGGAGGGTGTCAGATCGCCCCTTTCTCATTGCGGGTATGTGACGGAGTCTTGTTTTAGTTTTGCCGTCTGCGGCGGACTGTTCCCACGTGGACTCTGCCCCTCCCTAACCCCATTACCTTTAAAGAAATCAGGGAATGGGGCCACAGGCTCTGTGTCCAGACTGCAAGCCCCACTCCTCTCCCCAAGGCAGAGGGTCCCGCTGGGTTTTATCTGCTCGCGCCCTGGCCCTTATCCACAGCCCGCGCCACTGTCCCAGGGCTGCCTATAGCCGGCCTCTTAAATACGGCCGCTGGCCTTTGCCCTTGCGTCTCACTCAAGAGAATGGCTCTGTTTGCTAAATCGCTCACTGGGCTTGCGAGGACAGCGGTTTTGACTTGAGAAAGACGGAGAGGGGAGGAGCCTGTGGGCCCAGACACTGGGTAAACGCACTAATTAGCGGAGTGGAAGGAGCCCAAGAACAGGCAGTCGCATCTCCCTGTCCAGAGGAGTAAGCTCGCCTGACGACCCGTCCCGATTCTCTAGGATCCAGCTCAGGGCAAGCTGTGTGGGCGCCCGCTCCCCAGCTCTGGGCTCTTTAGCCCCAATGTCACTGACTGTCGGTGGGCAAAAGGGTCTGAACCCAGGAGGCTGGCTAGTTAGCAGCCTCCCCGGCTACTGGGTAGTCTTTTGCTTTCTTCCCCAAAGCTGTGATGAGCGAACCTGTCTCCAGGGCTGGGAACGTGGCTCAGTGTGGAATGTTTCCCTAGCATGGGATGGTTGAAGTTTGAATCCCCGTCCGGCGCCTAACAGGCTGCGCGACCTTGGACAAGTTACTTTGCCTATCCGTCCCTCAGTTTCCTTCCTTGGAATGTGGAATCATAGCATCAATACTATTCTTCTGTAATAGAAGTGTTGAAAAGGAAGCCACGAAAAATACGCTACAACTCATTTTCAAAACCTTTGGACAAGCCGTGTTTTTATGAAATAGAAAAAGAAGGTTCTGACCTTGATTCATCAACATGGAAACTTGATTCATCAACATGGAAATACCATCAAGTTTATTTATTTAGGCTTCATGGGTTTTTGTTGTTTGTTATTTTACGAGGTCTCGGGTCCCAGGCTGGTGCCAATTTTGCCAGCTGAGGATAGACTTGAAGTCCCCCTGCCTACACCTCCCAAGTGCGGGCATCACAGACCTGCCCCCAGCTGCCCCCCCCTTTTCAATTCCAAATTTATGTATGGGTGTTTTGCCTGCGTGTATCTGTGTACTATATGCATGCAGTATCTGTGGTGGCCAGAAGAGGGCGTGAGATCTCCCGAGACTGAAGTGACAGTTTTGAGCCGCCATGTGGATGCTGGGAATGGAACCCAGGTCCAGTGCAAGAACAGCCAGTGCTGTTAACTGCTGAACCATCTCTCCAGCACCTTCCTTTTTTTTTTTTTTTGAGATAGGGTCTGACACTTTAGCCCAGGCTGGCCTTCAGTTCACTACGTAGTCAAGTCCGGCCTTGAACTCCAGATGATCCTCCTGCCTCAGCCTCCTTGAATGAATGCTGGTGGATTATAAGAGTAAATCATCATGCCATGCTAAAATTCCACTTTATTATTTCTTTGTGTGTGGCGGGGAGGCTGAGGCCGGAACGTGGGGCCTTGGGGATGATAGGTAAATGTTCTACCACTGAGCCTCCACCCAGCCTTTCCCGTTGCTTTTTCTGGGATGAAGAAATGCTTTCTCCTTCAGAGACTTGGAGTTATTCACAAAGCTGTGCTGAGAATACTCTGCGCTCCGCCAGCCACCACTGTATGAGGGGCCTGGCTCTGCTCATCCTGAGCTCTGAGATATTTCACAAACAATTTAACCCCATCACGTCCATGAAAGAATTCACTAAGGCATTCTACAAAGGGGAAAGAATTTTGTCTTACTTATGTAGCCCATGCCGGCTTCCTTCCCACAGCTCCTCTACGGTGTGGAGATTACAGGCACGTCCCAATTTTATTATTATCTTTTTGTTTGTTTACTTGTTTTTTTCAAGACAGGGTTTCTCTGTGTAATGGCTCTAACTATCCTGGAACTCTCTGTAGACCAGGCTGGCCTCGAACTCACAGAGATCCACCTTCCTCTGCCTCCTGAGTGCTGGGATCAAAGGCCTGCGGCCACCGCCTGGCTTTAGAATCTCCCTTTTAAAGATTTTGCTATGTAGCCTGAGAGAGAGAGAGAGAAAGGCTTAAAGTTGTGGTAATACTCTCACCTCAGCCTCCAAGATGTAGCATAAAAGATAACTTAAAAAGGAAAAGAAAGAGAGAGTTGGAAGGAGGGAGGAATCGGAGGACAAACAGCATGCTGTCCTGGAACACTTGTGCGGGACCAGAGACCAGTGTGTGATGTGGGAAAGTGGCCTTGGCTGAGTTGCCAACAGCCAGCCAGAGACAGGAAAACAGGGACCACACCGTCTTCACATTCGGAAGATCTGGGAAGGTCGGTTTGAATTTGCCTGATCTCCAAACACGGGGTGGTGGATGTGAGACAATGTGGGAGATGTCATTTTCTTTTTTTTTTTTAATTATTAATTCATTTATTTTTCTATTATTCGCTTGATACAGTATAAATTCTTATCCTAATAGTGAAAGGTTTCATTGGGAGATGTCATTTTCTACCGGGGGGTTTCTGCCTTAAAAATGTTTTTCTGCCATCTACTTATTTATAAGAGTGTGTGTGTGCGGGTGGTGGTGCACACGCCTTTAATCCCAGCACTCGGGAGGCAGAGCCAGGCGGATTTCTGTGACTTC